CCTCGCCTGATAAGCTGTCGCTGTATTCGACGGCGTTCATTCCAGGTTCGTGGTTGGCTTTGAATCCACGGCCCCCTTTCCTGGGAGTAGTAAGGTCTCGGCAGCACCTGGCAATGTGCCCAACCCGACCACAGTGATGACACGAGGCTCTCTTAAATTTGCACGATTCCGCGTCGTGCGTGGAGCTTCCGCAGCGTGAGCAGGCTAGCGTCGTACGCCTCCGGGAGCTCTGAGGAAGTGGCGATCGGCGATGTGGGCCTTGTGTAACCGCGTTGATATCGGACTCCGGCGTCGGCTTCATGGCTGCGATGTTTACGGTAGCGGATTCCGCGGCGAGCACTATGTCCTCGGCCACTTGTAGCGTTAAGTCTCTTTTCGTGAGCAGCAACTTCCTTACATCTTCGTTGGTGATTCCGCAGACGATGCGATCACGGAGAAGGCGTTCGCGAATGCCCCCGAAGTTGCAGGTCTCGGCTAGACGGCGAATTGCGACGAAGTATTCCGGGACGGTCTCGTCTGGCTTCTGATCTCTTTTAAAAAACTTGAAGCTCTCAGCGATTTCGTTCAGTTTCGGTGCGTAGTGCGTTCCTAAGCGCTCCACGACTTCGGTATATGTAAGCGAATTGACCGCTGTCGACGAACTGGACGCTTGCAAGACTTCAATTGTCTTCGAACTTAAGGCGGACACGAGCAACGCTCGTTTCTGCACCGCGTCGGTCACTGCATTCCCCTCGAAGAACGCTTCCAAGCGTGTCAAATAGGTGGTCCACTTATCTGATCCCTCGTTGAACTGGGGAACAGAGAAGGCCATGGTGTGCTTGGTCGAGGTGGGTTGACCGGTTTCAGACATTGGGTTCAGCCTCGTCGCCAATGAAGTAAATTCGGAAGACAAAATGAAGGAGTCATGTCCGCCTAGCTGGTTGGCACAAGACTGAGCGTTTATTCGTCGTCGTCGTCGTTTTGCCTTATTTTTCGGCGCGGCCGATCTTGATAGATCGGCGGTTTAGAGTAAAAGAAGAAAACAAAAACAACTTCGGTCAGCCGCGTGAACCGCAGCGCGTGCAGCGTCATTCGCTCCCCAACAAAACGCACAACCAAAAACCACGCTTTTTTAATAATCACACAAACTTGTTTTTCACCTTCCAGTGAAAACGAGATTACCCGCATATTTACAAATGTCGACACCACTGCACACGGATAACGACAAAGGACGAGATTCCATTCGATAACGAGATTTAAAAAAACAAATTCGATTGCAGCACTTTACCTTCGTATACATGACCAAGAAAGCCCGTAAATACGTTGTTTCTCACCTATCATTAGCATCCATACGTCTCACAATATCCGGGACAAAAACATTTGAACACGAACTCCAAAAAGTCTCTCTCTGTCGAGAGACAGGTGTATCGATAATGAACCAGAGTCATCGTTGGCTAGTTTTCACACGTCACTCAAACCGTAGCAGGACTTGCTCCACGAATCCACGTAAATGCCGTAGTATAACGCAAACACGCAGAAAAAAAAAAAAAAAACTACCCGAGACTGTGTTGACGACAAAAATACGACGGAAAGAAGGAAACAATTAAGACTCAAAAGTACCGCACATGAGAGCAGCGGTGGCGAGAGGCTAATGTTGTCCACCCATCTCCACCTCGTGTGCGCTCCCTGCGGCAATGGCTGGATTTTTTTTTTCGGTTTCCTTCCCTTCTGAAATGTCTCAGCGCTTCTTTTCAGACAGTACGCAGCTCGCACCCGACGTAAAATGACCAGAATCGAAGCCCGTATAAAGAAAGATGTCGCATAAATGCCGGTTCATTCGAAAAGTGTGGGGTGTTGCGGGACTGCCCGTAGTCCCGCGGTTACGGGGATACTCATAAATATAAATTTGGTACTTTCAACCTTAGTTATGCGTTGCATATTACGTTTGTAATATATATATATATATAATAAATTATACAAGACTGCACTTTTAAAACATATATTAATGTCGGATAAACGCGCACGAACACCACCGCGCCGCTCGACAAGATACGTTTTTTTTCCCGGCGATAGCAAAAATATTTTCACGTAGTTGCGCCATGGCCTGTCTTCCTCCGTCATTGTGACGAAACCACTTGGAGCGTTACTGCCTTCTTCTCCAGGGGGTGTTGCCCTAGATCTTCTCAAGACGGCAGCTGACAGCAGTTGTTGTGGCAGAGGCTGAAGAAGCTTCCACATCTGCTGGTGAACCTTTATCCGTCGCTGCCTCGAGCGTGCAAGATGTTTTTCACGTAAACGGAGCCTTCTCGCGTCTCTAGTTGAATTATATATACTTTGTTTCAGAATCCATAGACCTGGGTGTTTTGAAAACGCCATATTTAAGAGAGCTCAAGTTCCAGACCTGTAAAATAGTCTAGTCTTTACAAAAAAAAGAAGAAGAGCCCAGTTAGCGAAAAATCAGTCCAGTTGCTCGAGCTTGCAGGGCTACTAAGAAATGCTTAGGAAGCGCGAGTGAAGCACAGCAAAAACAAATTGAAGCTTACAGGAACGGTTTTCTCGGAATGCTTAGTTGCGTCAACCTTTTATAGAGGCTACTATTATACCCGTGAAACGGGTTATAACTTGCGATAGTGACCGATAGTATTTCAACGACCGGATGATTCTTTATTTCTCCTCTCGAAAGGGAAAATTTCCTCATTTCGTGGTACCTTGCCTAAGTGCGAGGTCTACGCGAACTTTTTACGCGACGTCTAAAACTCTAACAAGAAGTGTTTTCCTTTTTTTTATTGCGAAATCTCTCAGTGACACTGCATAGTTTTTTTTTGTTTTTAAGAGTTTGCATTAAAATAAAGGGAATATCAACAGTCCTAAATATGCTACCTCCCCTTGTGTTATTGCGACTGTTTAAGGTACATCGCATCTGGGAGATGCGCGTAACTGTGATTCTTATCACCAATTTATAGAAGTCAATTGCATAATAACAAATTCAACTTAACATATACTGCGAGGCGTAGCGCAGAATTAGTTAACTGATGTGCTAACATAAAAGTAGCTAGAATAAATACATCCTAATATTTGCACAGCAAAGTTATATCAGCCGCCGTATGGATATGTGCTCATCGAGTCAACGAAAACATATTGTAAACAAGAAAAAGTGCAAAGATAACGCGAATGGCAAGATGATGTATCCCAAGCAACAGCCGACCACGCAACGAAAGGCGTCAGCTTCACCCTGGACTCGCGACTTATGAATTCCACCAACCTTTCCAATGTATGAACTCCCAGCGGTCCGTTTTGGGTTCGCTCTCAGCGACTTAACGGAAGAGCGCCACCCCACGCCGGACTTGGCCCCTCCGGTCGGCGTTGCGACGAGCCAACACATTTCGATGCCAACGGTAGGTGTGAACCTTGCCGGCCAGGCCATTCGGCGCTCCCCAGAACGTTGGATTAATTTATTGTAAGTCCCGCTACACGAACAAGGAGGCGAGCAAGAGTGGTTCAAGCAACTCAAATCCAAGTGGCGACAGCTGCTCCACCTGATTAGGAGAATGGGCAACCACTTAGGCTGCTGGGGTTTGCGCAACACCCACTTGCTCACTCAGACAGTCCTGACCTCAAAAGCCTGCTATGGGGCCGCGTGTTTCATACTGACTGAGGCGCAGCACAAGCAGCTGGGAATATTGCATCATGAATGCCTGCTTACACTTAAGGGTCTTCCACAGCACTTTGGGTGGGGTACACTCTAAGAGAAAATGGAGGAAAAAAAGTGAAAGCCGTTTACAACTCCCTGTAACGCCGAATTAGAGCGCAGCTCTTGAGGAGGAGGAGGGAAAGGTACTGGGGGGGGGTGAAGTGACCTGGGGGGGTCACGTGACCTCTAAGGTCACGTGACCCCCCCGGTCACTTCACCCCCCCCCCCCAATACCCTTCCTTCCTCCTCCTCAAGACCTGCGCTCTAATTCGGTGTTACAGGGAGTTGTAAATGGCTTTCACTTTCTAGAGCGCAGCTCTTAGGGGCCCGTTTCCAGCCTGAGCGGCGTCGCCGTCGCCGTCGGCGTAACCGCGCGTTGCATGCAACAGGTCGCGTCCTGCGCAACCTGTTGCATGCAGCTCAGAGAAGATGCAACAGGTTGCATGCAACAGGTTGCCTACAACCTGCAACATGGAACAGGTGACTCTCAGGTCACGTGACCCCCCCAAGTCACGTTACCCCAGGTCACGTGGCCCCCGCGAGGTTGGGAGGAGAAAGCAGGTCACTTGACCCCCCAGGTCACGTGACCTGCTTTGGTACAGGTTGCATCCTGTGCAACCTGTTGCTTGCAGCTCAGAGAAGATGCCACAGGTTGCCTACAACCTGCAACATGGAACAGGTGACCTGGAGTTGCATGCAACCAGGTCACGTGACCCCCCCCCGTCACGTTACCCCAGGTCACGTGGCCCCCGAGAGTTTAGGAGGAGAAAGCAGGGGAGCAGGGAAGATGAGCAGAGGGGACAGATCCAAATTTTCATTACTGCGAAAAATTATTTTAAAAGACTTTTACCTCTTGTTCCTCGGCCGGCTTCGAACCGGAGCCCTTCCGTTCAGTAGCCCCACGTGGTACATCTCCGCCAAAATTAAATAATTGAAAAACCCTGGAGCAGGAAAATAATAGAACAAAGAGAAGCTGAAAGCTGCTAAAGCGCCTTCATGTCTTAAAAGTAGCGCATGGTGCGTCGATGCACAAGGCACGTGCAACGTCAGACTTCGGAACGATCATGGCGGCACAGCGCGCATTCAAACTAGATTTCAGATACCATGTTACAGTGGCCATGTTCTTCCCAGAATTGGCGCATGGCACGTGTCTCGAGCATTTCCACAACAATGAATGCCGCCACTTTTCTCAGGATAGAGGGGCTTTAGCAGCTGCTGCTAAACGTGCTACCCGAGCTGAGGGTCAGCGCCGCCGGCGCCATAATCCAGCATGAGTGATATCACAAAGACGACGACGACGAGGCGTAATCAGGCAGTTCTTTTTCACAAAATGAGCGAGTCAGATGAAGCAGCTGCTGCTAAACGCACTACCCGAGCAGAGGCTCAGCGACGCCGGCGCCAAGATCCTGAAGTGCGTGCCGCCGAAGCTGAAGCTAAACGGCGCCGTCGACAAGACCCTGAAGTGCGCGACGCCGAAGCCGAGGCTCATCGCCGTCGCCGAGAGCAGCCAGGAGTGAGCGCCGCCGAAGCGGAAGCCAGGAGCCGCTATCGAGAGGACCCGGAAGTGCGCGAAGCCGAAGCAGAGGCTCATCGCCGCCGTCGAGAGCAGCCAGGAGTGAGCGCCGCCGAAGCGGAAGCCAGGAGCCGCTATCGAGAGGACCCGGAAGTGCGCGAAGCCGAAGCAGAGGCTCATCGCCGCCGCCGAGAGCAGCCAGGAGTGAGCGTCGCCGAAGCGGAAGCCAGGAGCCGCTATCGAGAGGACCCGGAAGTGCGCAACGCCGAAGCAGAGGCTCATCGCCGCCGCCGAGGGCAACCAGGAGTGAGCGCCGCCGAAGCGGAAGCCAGAGCCGCTATCGAGAGGACCGGGAAGTGCGCGACGCCGAAGCAGAGGCTCATCGCCGCCGCCGAGAGCAGCCAGGAGTGGGCGCTGCTGAGGCTGAATCTAAGCGCCGCCGTTGAGAGGACCCGGAAGTGCGCGACGCCGAAGCAGAGGCTCATCGCCGCCGCCGAGAGCAGCCAGGAGTAAGCGCCGCCGAAGCGGAAGCCAGGAGCCGCTATCGAGAGGACCCGGAAGTGCGCAACGCCGAAGCAGAGGCTCATCGCCGCCGCCGAGGGCAACCAGGAGTGAGCGCCGCCGAAGCGGAAGCCAGAGCCGCTATCGAGAGGACCGGGAAGTGCGCGACGCCGAAGCAGAGGCTCATCGCCGCCGCCGAGAGCAGCCAGGAGTGGGCGCTGCTGAGGCTGAATCTAAGCGCCGCCGTTGAGAGGACCCGGAAGTGCGCGACGCCGAAGCAGAGGCTCATCGCCGCCGCCGAGAGCAGCCAGGAGTAAGCGCCGCCGAAGCGGAAGCCAGGAGCCGCTATCAAGAGGACCCGGAAGTGCGCAACGCCGAAGCAGAGGCTCATCGCCGCCGCCGAGAGCAGGCAGGAGTAAGCGCCGCCGAAGCGGAAGCCAGGAGCCGCTATCGAGAGGACCCGGAAGTGCGCGAAGCCGAAGCAGAGGCTCATCGCCGCCGTCGAGAGCAGCCAGGAGTGAGCGCCGCCGAAGCGGAAGCCAGGAGCCGCTATCGAGAGGACCCGGAAGTGCGCGAAGCCGAAGCAGAGGCTCATCGCCGCCGTCGAGAGCAGCCAGGAGTGAGCGCCGCCGAAGCGGAAGCCAAGCAAAAGGCAAGGATCGCTAAGCCTGACGGTGCAACAAAAATTATCCAACGGCTGTTTAGAGACAACCCGTTTGGGAGCGTATGTTCAGTCTGTAATCGGCTCTGGTTCCAAAACGACTTGCAACCGCTACCGGACAGATGTCACGAGACCCTAGAGCAATCATTTCCAAACTCGGACCTAACCCAATTCAAACTGTGCTCGACCTGCATACAATCAGTGCACAAGGGTCATATTCCTCATCTTTCCTCAAGTAACGGTTATGAATATCCCCCGAAGCCAGCCCACCTCCCACAACTGAACGCGGTGAGTGAGAGACTCATATCTCCACGAATTCCTTTCATGCAACTGCGACGGCTGATGCACAGTGGAGGTCAACACGGCATTAAAGGACCAGTAGTAAACGTCTGTGTTGATGTGGATGACATGGCGACAATGTTGCCTCGTGCCATCGAACAAGACCGAGCCCTCAATGTACATTTGAAGCGGCGTATGCTTGCGAAGACGACGTACCTGGCAGGGGCAGTAAGGAAATGTGATCTGCTGCCGTGGCTTAAGCTGCTGTGTGATAGCACGCTGTACAAGCATTATAATATCAAGTGCGATTTTGCCCGTTTGGGGGATATCATAGAAGTGGACGAACACGACGAGATCGTGTTGCTCCCGCAGTGCTCAGACCTCAACGATCCGATCCAAGTGGCTGCAGCTATGACTCTGGCTCAGCACACTCTCGTATGGGACGAAGCCAAGTTTCTAGCCATTGCGCCAGGTGAGGGAAAAAGGCCCGTGAGCATCCTTTACGACGAACATGCAGAGGAGCTCTCGTTCCCACAGATCTATCTCGGTGAGCCGCGCCGAGTAGATGCCAGCGCAAAACCGACAGTCTTCACGCACGCCATGAGTGAGGTCCGCAGGTCAGACCGTCGAGGGGCCACCCCGCAGCACGTGCTGTACATGGCCATGAAAGTGTTTAGGCACCGAGTAGCCGGTGACATGTGTGTGGCCTTCCGTAACATAAAAGCACTGGAAACGCTAACGAAACAACAGTTGTTCGACAAGGATTTTGTGCAGCAAGCGGTCAAGCACGACATGGCTTTCATGCATGGTACACCCAACACCGTGCAGTACTGGACAAAACGAAAGAAAGACCTCTTTGCTATGATACGGCAGTTGGGTGAGCCGACCGCGTTCCTCACTCTTTCTGCCTCAGAAATGCACTGGCCCGACCTTGTGCAGTTGTTTCAACGCCTTCGGTTGAAGCCCGGCGAGATCGAAGTACCACTGGAGCAAATGAACAGCATTTATCGAGCTCAGCTAGTAAACGACGATCCCGTGGTCTGTGCCATATACTTCGACCGATTGGTGCGTGTAATTCTCAACATTCTCCGCAACACCCGTGTATCGCCTTTTAGGCCGTACATAGTCGTCGACTACTTTAAGCGGATCGAATTTCAGCACCGCGGGTCGGCACACGCGCACATTCTCCTCTGGCTTCATAACGCGCCCAACGAGGAGCTCTCGATGCTCATGCCCCAGACTCTCGAAATGGGCAACGTTCTGCTTTCCATCGACAACGGATGCTTGAAGCGGGAGCGGACTCAGGTGCACCAACACACGCATACCTGCTACAAGCACAACACGACCAGATGCCGCTTTAACGCACCTTTTATGCCCGTCGATGAATGTATGGTCGTAATGCCTTTCCCCACTGTAGACAATGAAGCGCAGAAGAAGAAAATCGAGAGCCTCCGAAACAAGTACGAGGCCATGCATCAGGCCCTGGAAACGACAAATTATGACTCCATGGAACAGTTTTGGGAACATCACGGTGTCGCGGACAAGGCGGAGTACATTTCTGTTCTCCGAGCAGGCACTCCTTGTGCCACCATCATGCTACCCCGTTCTGTGCAGCAAAAGGGGGTGAATTACTTTACCCATGGGTTGCATCAATTCTCGATTCTAACATGGATCTTCAGATGATCCTCGACACGTACGCGTGTGCTGCCTACATGGTGGAATATGTAAACAAGGCCAACCGAGGTATGTCGAATCTCAATCGGGCAGTGCAAGAAATTGTCAAGGAGAAGGGGGGCATGGCCTATTCTCAGGCACTGAGACATCTAGGTGTGAAAATGTTCAATGCCATTGAACTGTCCGCACAGGAAGCCGCATGGTGTTTGCTCAACCAGGATATGTCGGAGGCGAGTCGCAAAGTTGTCTTCGTGAACTCTGCATGGCCCCAGGCGAGGACGCGCATTCGGAAGTCTAACGCTCAGATGGCGCAGGAAGGCTTAGTAGAATCAAGCACGGATGTTTGGAAACGGACGATGATCGAGCGCTACGAAGACCGCGTTCCCGAATTGGAAGCTGTTACTCTGGCAGAGTTCGCTACCGAGCACAACATATATACCTGCAGAAAGAGGAATCAGCGACGGATACTTCGCTACCGCGGTTACTCCGTAGACGATTCAGTCAACTTCAAGCGAGAACATGTCCTGCTCTTCTATCCATTCCGCAAAGAAGTGGACATATTAGACCAAAACTGTTTCGAGCGTCTGTATGAGCAAAACATCGACGTCATTCTACAGAACAAGGCACGGTACCACAGTGACGTAGACATTGAGCAAATTCGTGCCGTTTGTAATTCCATGCTCCAGTCAAATGACGGGGAACATTGTGCCACTTCTGAGCTCCCAGATGTGAGACTGCACCCGATGGCCATGGAAAACGACGACTCCGATCTCCTAGACATCGGTACGGTCCAATCCAATGCCCCATTTAAGCAGTGCCTCGCCGTGTGCACGCGCCAAGACGTCATGAGCAGAGATCAATACCTGGACACAATGCGGAAGACGAATGAGGAGCAGTACGAGATCGTCCGAGAAGTCGTACATAGACTCACTTTACCGGACTCTCCGCCACTACAAATCTTCTTCACGGGAGTGGCTGGGTGCGGGAAGACATTTGTACTGCGTCTCATCATGGACGTCTACAACAGATATTGCAATCCTGCTGGTTCAGATGATGTAAACGCCTATGTTACCTGTGCTACAACTGGAAAGGCGGCGGTCGCGCTTGGTGGAATAACTGTACATGCAGCGTTCAGACTTACCATCAATAGGGATGGCGGACTGCGGGACAACGAGTTGAACACGTTCCGCTATGCGTTCAGGAACGTCAGGTGCGTGATTATCGATGAGGTTAGCATGATGTCCGCCGACATCCTTCAGAGAGTGGACTCGCGACTCCGCATCATCACTTGCAAATACCTAGAGCCTTTCGGCGGGTTAGACATCATCCTCTGCGGAGACCTGTGCCAGCTTCCCCCCGTGCGGGCCGCCGAGGTTTTCAAGCGCGTCAAGACGAACAGTATGTTTAACACGGAAATCGCATGGCACCATTTGTCATACTTCGTCCTCACGAAGGTCGTAAGGCAAAGCGATCTCAGGTTTTCCACCATACTTTCCAAAATTGGAGACGGTGCAGAATTGTATTCCGAAAAAATCGCATTGATCGAGAGTCGGTTCGTCACGCAGCAACAAGCAGAAACGGGTTGTCCCGGTGGCATCCGCTTGTACTACTCCAACAAGGAATCGGACTACTACAATACAAACACGGCCATTGCAACCGAAGATAATTCTGTGGCATGTGCGGCACGAGACACAATCGTTGGATTTAGGTCTATGCAGGAGAAGACAGAGGCAATGCGCAAGGCCGAAACGCTGCCCAAGGCCGAACTCGGAAGCCTGCCAGCTAATATAATGCTATGCATTGGAAAACCATATATGCTCACACTCAATGTCGATGTTTCCGACGGTCTTGTCAATGGGTCTGTTGGAATACTGCAGTACATACAATACGACACGCTCCGAGAGCCGGAACGCATCTGGCTGCATTTCGGTGAGCTTGGTTCCAAAATTGCGATTGGAACCGTGGCGGCCGCAAAATCCCGGCAGTTACGGGCACTTGACAGAAATATTCAGCAAAATTGGACACCTATCGAAAGACGCACAGTCACATGCGTCATAGATAAGAAGTCAAGGATATCCCTGAGGAGATGCCAGCTACCCGTTGTGCAAGCAAGTGCTATCACCATTCACAAATCACAGGGAGGCACGTATGAAAACGTGGTGTACTCGTATGCCAAGAGTCATCCACAGAAATTGGTATACGTGGCACTGAGTCGTGCTACAGACATCAACGGGCTCTACCTCACCAATGTGGACAATGACTTTACGTTCTACCACGGCAAGCCCAATCCGGACAGGGCACTACTTGATGAGTTTCGTCGGCTGCAGTCACACAAACTCCAAACTGTCACTGCTAAGTGCTACGCAATGATTGAGCAACCTCACCTGTTCTCAAGTCGCCGCGCTTAATGTTCGCTCTCTGCCGGCGCATTCCAAGGACGTGCACCACGACCCCATCCTACGCCATGCATCTGTACTTTGCTTCTCGGAAACGTTGATGGATCCAAAACAGGCGGTAGAAATCATGGACTACCAGTACTGCTGCGGCGTCAGTAGAGAGAACAACAGAGCAGCGGGGGTCGCCATCTACGTGTGTAAGGGTCTGTCTGCCGTACCCATCGAGACATTTGGCACGTCAGACGAAGTTGGAGAACTTTGTGCCGCCAACTTCGACAACGGCTTGCTAGTGGTGGCTCTCTATCTCTCGCCTACAGCACTCACCAAAGATGTCGTGCATTTTCTGCGACTTGCGTTAAGCACACTTGCGTCAACACTCATGTTAGTAGTGGGGGACTTTAATGCAGACTTAAAGACGAATAAGGACTTCATACCACTTATGCAGGAAAACCTGCCATTTCTTTCCCTCGTAACAGCTCCCACTGCTGTGACGACCTCTCGAAACACATGCATAGACCTCGTCTTTCAAAATCAGCCGTTGGTCCAGCACCTGGAACACATATCCTGTCATTTCTCAGATCACAAGGCTTCCTTCATAACAATCAAGGACTGGGATAGGAGCGCTATTTAAAGTACCAGTATAAGAGGAGATTGCTCTATATTTGTATATATTGTAGGGATTTTGGATGCTGAACTTTAGCGACGATGTGGAGTGCACGCTAGGAAGAAAGGAGGAGGAGAAGAACGAAAGCTGGAGAATTGTTCCCTCGGACGGTCTTGGGAGCCTTGAGAGGTGTTATGCGGACCACTCGGAGGAGCATCTACCAGCTTAGTTATCAGTTGGAGCGTGCAAGTCGCACAAGGCGAAGAGGACGAGGAGGACGATGAGGTTGAGGAGGAGGAGGCCACTGCTTAACTGCGTGCTTTTTCTTTCATGTCCTGGTTGGCTGCTACACTGGAGAGGCTGCTGCACATCGTACCACGGCGGCTGATCATGGTGCTTTAGTTAAATTAATAATCGGGTTTTCATCCAGGACGTAAATTGGAAACTCGCGGAGCAAACTTTAAGGTACATTGGTATAACAAGTGTGTACGTTGGTTTCGTACGTTATTGGCGTAAACCTTGGCTGGATATGCAACGCGCTTTCCAATATACACCACGGTTTTTCCCCAATCAATAAAATGTCAACCTGCCAAAATATTTGTTCTGATTCTATATTTCACAGCACAGCTGTTAGGCGACCATTCCCGGCTTGAATGGCGAAGACAGCAGTAGGAGAAAGGTGGAGGAGGAACGGGAGGAGAGAGGAGGAGGAGGAGGCGAGGGGAGGAGGTTGAAGGATGAGGCGGAGGTGAAGGAAAACGAGGGATGGAGGAGGAGGAGGGGAGGAGGACTAGCAGGCAGGATCACGAGGGAGGAGAAGGGGGGAGGAACATACCCTCCACTCAGTACCCTTCCTTCCTCCTCCTCAAGAGCTGCGCTCCAATCCGGCGTTACAGGGAGTTGTAAACGGCTTTCACTTTTTTATCACTAATTTTATCAAACGAGCAAACGAAGCCGCAAGAACCAGCGAAGTTCCGGAGCAGTACCACCAGCGCCACGTACACTGGGGGATGGCCGTCTCCGGATTTCGGGACTCGCGCGGCACGGAACTACAGTAGCGAAACCACGCTGAACTGTGTCCACGTTTCCGACGTTATGGAAACCGCAGGAACTGCGTCCAAGACAGGCAGATTTTGCTGCCGGCTGCTTGGGTGCCTTCCGTGCTGAGTTCGGTTCTGTTTTCCGATGCCGAGTGCAACCGGCGTTCAACGTGGTTCTGTGTTTGTGCGTGTCAGCAACTAAGCTGCAACATCGTGATGGTAGTGTTTTGAGTTCTGAAGAGAAGACTGGAATTATCGCCGATGTGACCGTGTGTTCGCGTATCAGTGGTGTAACAAGAAGATGAGATCGTAAACTGCTGGGCATTGATGCCGATGGTCGGGCCGTGATCGGAGGGGGCGGGGTGTCGCAGGTTGACATTCCGCTTTGTATTAAAAAGTTTAATACCACTTGAGGGATTACGTGCAATCGATCAACGTGCGGATAGTCATGCTGGACCGCTGGTCTGAGCAGTAGAGGCTCCTATTGTACACTGGCCAACGTGACTGTCGGAATTGTCTCGTCCCCGAGAGCGATTGCGCTCTGGGGCAAGGACTAAAAAGTACGAAATCGTGACGGAAAGTACGTATATTTACAGTACGGAATTTCGGCATTAAAAAACAATAGTAGGTAAAATCGAAAAAAAAAACCTACCCTTTATTTTTCTGTTTAAATATACTACGGTTGCTGGAGGAACTGCCCTTCAAGTGGCGCGCTGGGATGAGCGCTAGAAGTTTTTGGGCTCGCCACGGCGTAGCTCTGTACCTGTTGCAAGTCGCGGCTTTGACTGCATTCAAGTTGATCGAAAAGCGATTTCTCAGCCCGTGAAGCATCACTAATTCCAGCTGAGTGAATATCCGCTCTACAGAGATTAATTCAAGACGGCAATTGCAGCTTTGCGCGAACAGCACAAATAGAAAAATCAATACAAATACAGGCTACGACGTGCCGTGTGGGGAAACAAACTCATGGCTTCGAACCGCATTGGAGCGGCTTGATTTATTGGCTTTCAAGCAATTACGGCATGATCCAGCGTTTACTTTTTAATAAGAGATTCATCCCCTGAGCCATTCGAAATACTCTCAGAGGTACGACATTGCCGGGAAAAAATCAACATGCTGGCAATATTTTTTATTGCTTAGAGAGTCACCGAAAAGTTCAGTACGTTCAAACGACCAGTATAAAAGACGGAAACGCAGAGTACGGGTGTAGTCTTCGGGTTAGTATGGTGTTCCGTTTTATTGATATTTGTGTGCGCCGTGTATGTGCTCAATGTCTGTTCACCTGATGCTTGTAATAAGCGTAATGTGTGTATAGTAGAGGATCTGAAGCGGAGTAGTGGCTTGAGAAAGCAAATTATTTTTTTGTAGAACGTGAATTGGGCGGTACCTAGCGCCACCTAGCCTAGCTACTTGCAATTACTCTGCTTGACCGCGCCATCTGGTGGCTAGCGATTTAACCTTATTTCACGCCACGCGGTAAACAGCGGCTTCGAGTTTGTTCTTTCGAGAGCGGCTTTTGGTTTCGAGGTTTGAGTTTGTCCTTCTCCGTGATGTGCGGTTGACGAAGGAATTGTGACTCGAGGAACACCAAAGGTAAGACGCAAAGCGCGCAAAGTAACTGGGTATCGGTTGTCTCCGTTTAACATCACAGTGCTGTCGACACGAAGACTGAGTAACTGCTTTCGAAACGCAAGTTTCTGTACCTGTGGGGGGAATCTGGCTTCGGAAATAAACACAGTTTGCGGGGAGCTCGTGTTACGCTTTTATTTGCTGCTGCTCTCGTCCCGTACAAGAGACGTAGCGTCCTCGCCAAGCCTTATTGGGCTCGATTTGCTCGATTTGGGGCCGCCATATTGAGATGCAATCGACGGAGGAACTTTGCTCCCCTGCTTCAGGGACGAATATTTCTCCCTTTCTACAGGAACATAGGTTACAAGACCGTTCCTCCCCTAACGGAGGACTATCCATACCCTTTTTTCTAAGAGTGTACCTTCCCATACCTTGCCACTCTACAAGCCATCATCGAGAACCACGTTGACGGCCATCAGCGGCGCCGGACGTCGAATAGTGTCAGGCAACGCTCCTGAATTTCCAGGGTTGGTGGCCACCCGTAGGAGAGGTTCCGTTTCCGAAGTGCATACCACCATGGGAGCACCCGATGGTAAGAAGCACGAAGCCGCTCACCACCAAACAGCACAGGGAAGAACATTCGAAAGAAATAACTGCACTCCCAGCACAGGCAGATTTCGAGGAGCACGCCGTTTTCACAGACGCCGCTTGGTGTAAAGAGACAAAGCGGGCCACACTCCACTTCGCGACAGGCCAGGGCCGCTACGCTCAGACTCTTCAATAAGGCAGCGAACCTAGCATGAGCCGCTTCGAACTAAATGCAACGCACGTGGCGCTATCTCGAATACGAGAGACGCTCGACCAAGTGCTCGTAACTACCCATGTATTCATATTGACGGACTGCAGAGAAGCGCTTCCTCGTTTGGGGAAAGCTCCTCGTGAAATAAGGTTCTGTCAGCAAATCAAGAGCGAGAGCTCGGATTTCAAAAATACCAAAGGTATGGAGAGAGTGGATTTGGTCGTACACGCGGGTGGCGTCTGTAACGAGGTCGTACACACGTCGGTAAGCGAGCACATGTTAGGCCGTTCCAATTCAAGGATCTTCGTCCCCTTCGCGCCGCCCGACCCAGACTCCCTAGAGAAAAAAGCAGCGCCCCTAAAAGATCAGCGTCGGCTACGAGAGCTAACACCGTACGAGCTTGCACCGTTACCCAACGGTTTACCCGGGGGAACACAAGTGCTAGTACAGAAGGCCCACACAGGCGCTACTCTCACCGTGGTCATTCTTGCACGGTGGTTTAGATACAGGCTACGGAGGGGGCGCCAACCCGACCAGGCGCCATCGGAAGGGACTGAGTACAATGCAGTTGTCGTCCTCACTACCTTCACCGCCGGCGTATCCCGATGATCCGGCACCTCCCGTGCCGGCTTGCGAGAAAAAGGAACCGAGCACCCGAGGGCCTGTACCTACACTCTACACTACAGGGTCACACCGGCCAACGAGACACGGGCCACGCAGCCGGTATACGCTTCCTGTGGGCGTTCGCGCGCTCGACAGGAGTACACCGCCGAACGTAAACTTTTCCAGACCATGTTTTCCTTATCCCAATGTAGGCTGTATATATTCTGGCGTTTATTTTTGTAAAAAACGGCAGATGTTTTTCGGTGTTTAATAATTTTCAAAATACCGGTGCATTTCGGTGAATTGTATCGTGCAGGCCTTTAAATCGACAGATAAAATCGCGATTAGAACAAACAATGAAAACGACAAACGGCTCAACTTTTATTTACACTTCATACGCGATGTTTTTCACACTTTATTACTCTAATATATGCATGCAAACATTGGAAGGCTCGCATCTGTCACTCCCGCCCGTTTCTTTCTGTTGACGGCGTGCAATTTCGAGAGCGCGCGCTCTGAATTTGGCAATAGGGAGTATTCACTGGACGCCATGTTTGTGGGTGCTCTTTTGAGCGCATTCTCAGAACGAGCTCATATTAATAGGCTGCTAAGACGGGCACTCATGATGGTGCGGAATGTACGTTGCAAAATGACTGTGGAAGTTCGCCATCAGCACTCGCTAAGCATTCGCGCACACAGCTATGGACGCCAGTGAATACTCCCTATACATACACGGGAAGTCGCAAAATCTCCAAAAAGACTTGGGAGAGTACTGTCGAGTCCGGCGAATGCCGGCTCCGGACAAGCTTCGTTTAAACAATATAAAAAACAGTTCACATCACCCAACTAGGGTCCACAGAGAACGAAAGTAACCTTCAACGAGGCAATCTACAAAGGGCACAATAAGAACAAACTTTTTGGGACATAAACTGAAAATCGAAGTAGTCAGCAATGGCAGAAAAAAGAAACTCGATTACTAACAGACCTTAGACAACCTTATTGACGATCGACAAAAA